ACACCAGAGACTCAGTTCTTCCTGTTCTCCCTGTTCCATCTCCATCAGTCCTTTAAATGTTTACTGTAACTTGTCCTACATCCTTAATTGACCTCTCCTCTTAACATCCCTCTTATGTTAACTCGTCAGACCCATGGTTCCTGTGGACCTCCAGCTCTGCTTCAAATCCAACCCAACTTTCAACAGACTCCCGTGCACAGACTAAAACTTTTACTTTCTCTTACCATCTTCCTTCTTCCAGTCAGCTACCAACGCTTGCAGGACTGGCCCAAACCCCTCACCATCTTCTCCAATCTCATAGGAAAGAACTACCTGCTATGAAAGCACTTTCCTGCCCCCCTCCTCTGCTTCAACCCCACCAGTAGGCTCCAATCAACCTTCCCTGGAGTTGCCCTCTCCATCTCTGCTGTCTACAATGACTTGTTTCTCTTGACTGCAAACTCTTGGTTTAGAGAAAGCCTTTGCCCCTCCTGCCTGAATATTAAGATCGGGCTGCTCTTTTTGTTTGGGTATCTTTGACAAAGTATACCCTGGATCCCCTTTGTTTCATCGGCTGCCTGCCTCATTCCATCTGTTCCACTGGCTATGTGGATCTCAAGGTCACCTTTACACCTCATGCCCACTGTCTCTGTGCTGCATCTCTGTTTCCTGCTTAGATAACTATTTTTCAGCTAGTCCCTCCTATTTCCAGTCAGTCCAACTCTGACCTAGCCTTCTCATAGTTGTTAGATTTATAGGTTTAAAAATTTATGTCTAATCAGACTTTCCTATATAAAATTCTGTCGTTACTTCCACATCCCCAGCAAAGTGATGTCAGAGTTCTTAGCACATGATTTATGGTCCTGTGGAATTTGGCCTCTGCCATCTTCCTCAAATTCATTGCTCATTGCTAACCTCCTGCCTCAGATCTTTGCCTTTGAACCCTCTAAACCCACTCAGTTTCCCAAGCATACCTTCTTCGCTCTTCTGTGTTTCCACACACAAGTCCCTCTGCATAGAATATTTTTCTTCCTCTTTTGGACAAACTTTGATTTCTTTTTCGAAACTAGCTTAAGGATAGGGTTCCTTCAGCAAGTCTTTTGGGGTCTTCCAAGAGAGTTCGTTGCTCTCTGCTGTCTTCTGTCTTCCTCTCCGCCTCCAATAGAAACTCTCCCCATAGTGAGTGGTCGTGTGCTTGTAGACTAAGTTCTTGGGCAGATATGTCTCATTCATTTTAATGTCTCTTGGTTTGGGAAGGAAACACTAGGCAGCCAGCAAGTGCCATTGAAGAAATAGATACAGTCACTCCGAAGCCCTGTGACCCAGTCCTCTTCCTGGGACTCATGTCTGAATTCAGACTTAGCACAAGCTCTGGTTTCTGTGCATCAGTGGTCACTTCCCTCCATGGGGCATAAGATCCACTAGAACCAGTGCCTCCCATGCTTGAGTGTGGGTTCAATGCCCTCTCGATAATGTTTGTATATAAATGAATAGATTTTTCAAGTCCACATTAATCAGTAGAATTAGGTTTACCTAACCTAAAACACCCTTTGACAGAGGATATCATAGGCAGATAGACTATCCAAACGCCATCCTAATTTCAAAAGCCTCTTTCTCCATTGGCATAAAAACAGCACTGGCTTTTTAAAAGGTGCAACCATGGCTGATGGCTTGGATCCCAAACACAAGACTGGAACAGATGGGGCCCAGGGAACTTCTGCTTGCTGCTGGTGGCTATGGCTGGGTTCATGTCTACCTCCCTTGAAGTCTGCTAAGTTACAATATTGCTAGGATAGGGATCATCACTAACTGTTACGTATGATTTCATATAGAGCAACCAGAGATAAAATAGGCTATAGAAAATGCCCTGGAATTAGAGCCAAAGGTTCTTGGTCCCATTCTCAACTCCACCATGTGCTTAGCTGTGTGGCCTAAAGTACAGTTGCTTTGAGCTTTACCAACCTGTGAAGAAACATGACCACAGTACTCACAGTCTGATCATTGAAGGGTTGTACCCTCATTGCTTCTTTCCAGGGATCTTGTGGTTTGTGTTCCCGTTAACTTACATTTGATTTTCATAGTTGTATGCACTGGTCTACAAGATTAAGACCAACCCAAGAAATGCATTGTCTTCTGGGACAGTTTGTATCAGGAACTGCATTATCCATTGATATGCTCACATCCGAAGTCATTGACCTCAACCCTGGAGGTCAACTAACTGCATCTGATGGGGAACCTAGAGAGTCTGGCAATGATTCCAGGCAAAAATCCTTTGATGAGAACTAAAGACCATTCTTTGAATCATTATTCTCCGTTTTCTAAGTGACAACCGATGCTCCTAAAAGCCAGCTGGATGGATCCAGCTACAAATGAGACAGACTTGTTTTCACAAGCAGTAAACAGTGTTTGCTTTTGGCTTCCAGTGGAATTTCTCCACAGAGTCCCCCCACCACCATTACCCTGAACTGTAACTTCCCACACTACTCCAGTAGAAAAGTAAAAACATTTAAAAAGACCTATACATAAAGAACTACCCATTTAATGCTTACACTCACTCTTTACTATCTGTGGATATTTAACAATTTTAGGGAACAAATTGGTCTTGGTGCCTGAAAAACAGAAAATCCAGAGGCTTACAGCAGCAGATGGTGTGCCTCTGGCCTTATCACCTTTGAGTCCACTATGTAGGGCTTATTTTCTTTCTTCCTGGCAATATATATATTTTAACCAGGTGCTGCATTGCTTTAACAGATGGAGCATGGACCTTGAGTGTGGAATCTTTTATTCAACATTTTACCCAAATTTCCATGGGGCTCTGAAAACATGCTCAAGTCGATCCTGCAATGACACTGTGGATCTTAGTTGCTATGAAGCCAAGGGATGAGCCTGGACTCAGAGGCATGTGGAAGAGGGACATGCTGAGGATTCCCCAGCAGAAGAAAGCCCGAGTTTCCATCTCACACTCCTTAGACTGATGCCAAGTTTGCTTTCTAGTAAGGCTGAGTGACTAGTCGAGACCCAAAATAAAAACATCTTTGTTGAATATTGCAGCTTCCACTTGATTCTCCCTGCAGAAAGTCCCTATATTTTCACACTCATAGAGTGTAACCTGTATGGCTGCAGACAGTATTGCAGAGCAAGAGCAACCGATGTAGAATTTTATCCTCAAAACCCCTAGCGTCACTGTTGGCCAGCATCACAGTCACCAAAAGAGTTTGCTTATGGCCTCCAACTGCTGCCCATCACCCCCTGCTCCTTGTCTAGGTCACATGGCACTCTCAGTTTTCACTTCCCAGAATTCTCTAGGGTCAGTCTGCCTGTCCTGGGAAAGCACTGAACTATAGTTCTTACTTTCTATTGAGTTAGCCTAAGATGCACCTTTCCATATTTCTTAATCTGAAAATTAAGAAACGTAATCTTTGTCCCCAAGGTTGATATATATAATTAGCAGAGCAAGACAAAATATACTAGTTTAGATAAATACACAAGGTCTGGCATTTCTGGTTCATGGCTTCTGTGATCAGTATGATATTCTCTATGTCTTTTCAATTTCTAATACTAAATGACCCCAAAGAAATCCACACCACCATTGTCTCAGCCAGATTATAACTAGTAGGTATTTTCCTGTCAAACAGAGCAGAGTGGCATATTTGAAGTAAAACAGCAGTGTCAAGAAGAACACTGTTCTACTTTCAGTAACACAATGGTTCCAGTCCTGTGGCCTGGGGATATGAAAGTTCTGGATGACCAGTGTTCAAGCATGCTTCAATTTCACTCAGAATAACCATGACTGTTTCCACCTCCTCATTTGCAAGGAACAAGTATCTTTTCCATCAATAGCCATAACCATTTGTTGAAAGAAAAAGGACCTAGCCCTTCACGAGCTATGGTGAACAAGAGGCAGAACATTGACTTGAGCATTGGGTGGGGGAAGAAGTGGGAACTAAAGAAGTGGGTTCTAACTTTTTCCTAAAACACTTAAGCCTTTCAAACAAAATATTACCTGGAATGAATAGCAGCAGCAGCAGCAGCAGCAGCAGCAGCAACAACAACAACAACAACAACAACCCAGAAGCTCATGGTGAAGCGGGGGTAGGGCTTCGGAATAGCATTCTATTTCCTACTCCCCAAACTTCTGGGCCTGTGTGGAACCCCACCCCTACACTTTTCAAAGAACTAGATCAGAGAAATCTGGAATACTAGAATAGGTTTATAGAAGAAGAAAGATGTAGGGGCCAGAGAGATGGCTTAGTTAGCAGAAAGGCTTGCTTTACAAGTGTGGGGAACTAAGTTCTGATTCCCGGAGTCCCCCTGAAAAGCCATGTGTGGTAGCATGTCTATAGTTTCAGAAATAGTGGGAAGAGAGGTGGACATAGGTAGATTCCTGGCACTTGCTGACCAGTTCATCTAATCCACCTGGCAACGTTCCAGGACAGCAAGAGACCCTGTCTCAAACTAAAGGAGGAAAGCTTCGGAGGACAACATACAAAGTTGTCTTCTGACAACCCCACCCCCAGATATGTGTGTTGCTCACATCCACACTTATATGTACATGTATGTGCAAACCTTCATACACATGTGATCCACCCACATGTACATACATTCACACAGAAAAATAAAAAGACAGTTCTCATCATGGTGCTTCTGGGTATTTTGCTATATAGACATGATATGCCATGGTTTATAGGGTGTGCAACTGAGAAGAAGCCTTCTACTCCCTGCCTAAGGCAGATGAGCACACCAACTGACCTTCTCTACCTCAGAGTCAAGCTTCATCCTTGTCTTCAACTGGGCAAGACAGATTTGCTTGGTAATGATTTCAATTTTTCTTCTTTGCCAGGTCCCCTTCTTCCTTCCCACCCACCTCTTATGCCTAAGCTATTGCCTCATCCTAGCTCTTGGGTCTCAAGCCCAGTGCTTCTCTGCTTGGCCTCTGAGTAGAGGGGATCTTGAGGGATTTTTTTTCCATTTCCTTACTAGGTAATTCATCACTTCTCCCGGAGACAAGCCCCCAGACCCACCTATGCACACCACGTCCATGAAGCCGTACATCCCATAGCAGATCTGGAAGAGGAGGTCTTGGCGTTGCCATTTTGCTGAGGGACTGAAGGTCGACCAGATGAGCCAAGAGATACTGGCAATGAGGAAGAGAGAACCCAAGATGGCGGCTGCAATCTGAACCTTCTCGATGACTGTCAGGGATATGGCCTGCCACTGAGGAGGAGAGAGTGACAGATTAGCTGCCTGAGTGTCCATATCCCAGGCCCACACTCTTACTTCTGCTCCAGCAGTTCACTGGCCTAGAGCTTAAGCCAGGGCTTCTCTACTTGTAGTACAATGGACATCTCTGCTGTTTTATATTATGCTTTTGATGCAGAGGAAACCCATGCCATATAAACTGATCAGACATCATTGTAAGGAGGGAGTTCTGGGCAGGCATATCTGAGGAAGTGACCCTTATACGTGACTTTCAAAAACATAGAAATCTGAAGGTGAGAAGAAAAACAAAGCTAGAGTGGGTGTTGCTCCAAGGTGCCAGAATATTCCTTCTAGAGTAGCACAGTTGATTTCCTCCCTAATAGGTGCTAAGAGGGCACAAGTCTTCCTTTGACTGTTTTGTTTCTACAACACCACCTTGGATGCCATTTAATGTACATGCTAGAGATCAACAATTTGACAGAGAAGGAGAGGATACCATCTGTGGGAGTAAGAAAAAACAACAGTTCACAATATACCAACTGTATTTTCTTTTTAAAAGGAAGAAAGAAATCAGCATACTTACAGCAGTATTGAGTTGGAGGCTGGAGTGTGGGTGAGTTTGGGCTATGGAATTCTATGATTCTATGCTTCATCTATGGAGCAATGTCTTAAATTAGCCTTGAGTGGGATTTTAGTTTAGGCTCATTGCACTCAGCAAATAAGTATTGACCATTTCCATGTGCCTGGCCACTATTCTAGATGCTGGAACTAAAGCAATGGACAAAACTAGACAAGGCCCTTGTCCTATGACACCCACAGTTTCAGGACCATGTAAGTCTAAGAGTTTACATATTCAATCCATCATGGATATGCATATGTCCTTCCTGGACCATACCAGGAGTCATTGTGGTGTAAACACAGAGGGGAGGCACAGTGCTTTCCACCTGCCAACAGGGGCCCCTCCCTCTGTCATCACTGGGCTCAGATGGGGTAGGCCAGTGACCTCCAAGGAACAGTAGGTGTTGGAAAATACCTTGGTTTTAGTCCAGATATAGGACATGGGCCTTAACATTTAATTACACTGATAGCATCCCATTACAGAGCATTAGCCCTTTAAATTTTCCAGTGTTTCCCTAGCCTAAGGTTACACATAACAAAGGCATTTTCCAGAAGATGGTCCTATCATATAGACTCCTCTCATGCACAATAAATGCTTTTTCCAGGGCCAAACCTACATAGTCTAGAAGAGAGTTTCTGACTGTAATTAGGTTGGCACCAGTAAATCCCAACTCCACCTCTTTCTCTTTCATAATGGATGGGTCCCCTGACTAAAGTGAGTATGGTGAACAAGAGAGAGGTTGAGGTGCTGTAGACAAGAGCTCTTTTTTGTCCCGTGTGAGGCTCTGTGGAAGTGTAACAGGAGGTACCGCAAGGAGAGGGCTGAAAAGCAGAGAGCTCTGAGATCTGACAGAAATGCTGGGAATGAAGAAGGGCATTGATGGTGCCAAGCCCTGCTACCAACAAATGCCCAGAACACCAGAATCTAATTCTATGTATTTAATTTTATTGTATGTGGATTGGTGTAAGGTGTCACACCCCTTTGAGCTGGAGTTACAGACAGCTGTGAGCTGCCATGTGGGGGCTAGGAGTTGAACCTAGATCCTTTGGAAGGGCAGACAGTGCTCTTAACCATTGAACCATCTCTCCAGCCCTCAGAATCTCATTCTAAATGAGGTTCTGATCCCCAGATCAGAAGACTTTCTCCCTGTGAACTCCAGTCCCACAGCATTAGGAAGTGAAAAGCAATGGATGAAGTGCAAGGAGATGTTCTCTACACCAGAAAGAGATACCAAATCAGGCATCAGAGGACCTAATTCTGCTTGAGCCGTGTTCCAAAACTTGTTGAGTGTGAGCAAGAGGTCACCATAAATTATGATGATGGTCAATTTTCCATTCTTTAAAGATGGAATTGGTCCTTCTTTCTTCCTAGAGAATTGTGGGTGTTCAATGTGAAGCCAGGGCATGAAGGGCATTCTTTACTGTTTCAGTAAAGACACATATAAACTTGTCAAGGCAGGGGTTAGTATACATGGGTATATGTGCCTTATTATGTATTATTCTCTGCAGGGTAGGTGCTTAGACTCAGGAACTATGGTTCCTGTTACAGACAGCAATCTGCTTTGCTGTTTCATAGCTGTACAGCCTCCAACAAGTCCACAAATCACTCTCTGCCTCCATTGTCTAAACCTGTGCATTGAATAATAATAGTACTCCATTGAATTGTTTCCAGGGTTCAATTTGATACTATGCATGAGCTAACACTTAACAAGTAGTAATTTAATGTTCATTAATATATCATACTCTTCTCTCACTCAAGAGGGATGCATTCCAAGGCTCCTGGTAGATACTTGAAGCCTCAGACAATAGTGGACCAAGTACTGTGATGACTCATGCCAGGTAATCTGCTACCCGAGGTGATTACTCAGTAACTAATGGGTAAATAGCATGTATGGTTTGAATAATGAACAAAGGGATGACTCACATCCTGGGTAGGATGGAGAGGAAGGCATGGTATTTTCTCCCTCTACTCAGAACAATATGCAATTACAAGTTATTAATTCTTTCTGGAGTCTTCTTTATAATTTTTTGGGTACCAGGCAGCCATGGTTAACTAAAACCACAGGAAGCAAGCACTAAAGAAATTGCTGTTCAGAGCTATCAAAGACAAAGAGGGAAGCAGGCAATGGTACCTTAAGAGCCACAAGGCTATGACTTCTTTCTCAGTAGGCATTATAGATGCAAGCCTTGCTTTGGGAAGGTCACTAATATTATGCTCCATAATGAAGACTTGAACTATTTCTTACATCTTTGCCTGGGTTACAAACCAGGACATGAGAGAGCAAAGATATGTGGGAAGGTACCTCCCTGCTCTGATGGCTAAACTCTATCCATTGCTCTGTTGACTTAGTCAGGTCTGCCACCTCCAACTTCTATAGATAGTCCAGCTGGGCTTTTTGCACAGAGGGTGGCCTCTGATGCAGAGCAGACAGTTGTATGACACTTGACTAGGCCAGAGGAGTCCAGGACACACACTTGGAACAATTTAGGATACAACTATATAGCATAGTTTTAAGTCCAAACTACTTCTGTATAGAAAAATGAATTGGCATTTACTCAGCACACTCCATTGAGTTTCCAGGACCAACAGAATCAGAGAGGTTCCCAGTGCCTAGAAACTCATAATTGAAGTCAAGGTAGTAACTTGGAAATAGATTAACAGACTGGTGGTGCCAGCACTGCCATTTGCTTACCTGACATAGACTTAAAATAACCTTTCCTATATGCCAAGAAAAAAAAAAGCTATACTTGAATGATTTTTTTTTTCATTTTATGAGTCAAAGGTGGCACCAAGATGGGGCTGTCTTAGAATGAATTCATAGATTGTGGAACTGACCTTTCCTGAGGCCTGAGTCAGCTGTAAAAAAAAGGGGCAGGTCAATGAGCTCAGACCTCCGCTGCACCCTGAGGACTTAGAATCAGCTGTTGCTCAGTGCTGCTATTTTAAGACATCTCAGAATCTGAGACGAATGGCTGAAGATGGAGACAGCAGTCAGAAGAGGCTTCCCATCAAGAGGCTGAGATGCTAGTGAATCTGATGCCTCTCCCCATCAATTCTTGAGGGTACCCAATGGAGAATGACACAGGACAATTCTACATTTTTTCAGAAGATCTCCAATGCAAAGACCCTACTACAGTTACCCACTTCTCTCCTGGGTTTGCAAGGTTGATTATCTGGCACACTCACAGAAGAGGGAAACTGTCAGGCATCTGTTGTCTCCATCCTCACTGTCTTGCTGGCTAATTGATTACATGACTGTTTACTTGACTGAGGATGTGTATGTGGAGGTATTTTCAGAAGCAGAGTGCCCCCCCCATGTGTGTGTGTGTGTGTGTGTGTGTGTGTGTGTGTGTGTACTCACATGCTGCTCTTACTAATAAACTGTTGATTTGGTTGATCGACATAGGACTTGACAGCAATTGGGGGGAAGACGGCTATGTCAGCAGAGGAGGAGAGAAGAGTATGGGCAGAGAGAGCCTTGAGTTCTGCCAATCTGATTGATAGATCTCGAATTCTGGCCTTGCGGTTCCTTACCTCCCATAGTACCTCTGTTACTCTGTCATCATGGATTCTTTTTTTGTATCCCCCCTCCTTCATTTTCTTTGTCCTCCTTTGTTGTTTCTTTTCCATTCCTTCCCACTCTGCCCCTTGTCACAGGAAGTGTGGTCAGTGGGCCAGCAGGAGTATCCCTGGTAGCTTGTTAGTGACACAGGCTTTACCTGCTCTTGAGCATTGAATTGGAATCCACTTGTTAAGACTCCAGGCAAACCACAAGCATATTAAAGTCTGAAAACACTACTGAGTCATCTGGTCTACCCAGCTTTTTTTCAAGTCCTTAGCTTAAACTCAAGCCTCACTTTCCCACTATCTCTTCCCGATTGCCTGTTCTATTTCTTTTTGCTTTTTTCTTTTCTTTCCTCCTTCCTTTCCTCCCTTCTTGTCTTTCTGTCCTTCCTTCCCCCATTTCCTATTCCTTCTTTATTCGTTTCCTCTTCTCATTAACCCATGTGTTTTTTATTCTGCCTGTTCCATCTATCTCCCTGACCTTTCCCCTCATATACTGTATATTTCTCTCTTTGCACAACCCTTTTCCTTCTTGACTAGACTTAAGAGAAAAGTACATCTTTCACCACCTCCTGACCATGTTCCACCTAATCACCAAGCTGCTCTGAATCTGAGGTTTGGTAATTCCCCTACCATAAAGCAGATAATGGGGGGACTCCAGGCTAAGAAGCCCTGTATTTACCTGTAGAGGATTCTTTGTGCTTATGGCGATGACATGGTACTTGTAGTAGCACAGCTCACAACTCCAGCAGCCCCTTTCACTGATCCATTTGATGAGACATGGCTGGTGAGTACATTTGACTGAGCCATCACAGCGGCATGGGCTTAGCAGCTCTCCCTGTGGAGAAAGAGAAAGAGGCAATGTGGTGAAACTGGAGCCTCAGTCCAGCAGATGATAGGTAGGTAGATGGATACTGGAACCCTGGTCAGAGCCACTCTAATAGGCCAGATAAGGCCACTCCATCCCAGCCACAAGCTTTGTCAGGAGGCACCAGAATCTACTGAAGAGGCCTGGACTCCAGTGTCCTTTCCATAGAATCTAAGCAGCTTTAGACAGCTAAACTACCAGTTCTGAGACCTTCCTCCTATCTAAGACACGAAACAATGAGTCTTGAACTGCCTTAGACCTAGGATGTCCATGGAAGCTTTCTATAGCCCAATGGTGGTTAATAGGCTCCATGAGTTTCTCTTTAGAAATGCAACCAAGTTTAAATACCCACAAGGCTAGAGAGGCAACACAAATGATGGAAATCTGCTGGTGGAGACAGGAGTGACTTGGAGAACTCAGATCAAAAGCAGGACAGCCACTACCATCTCCAGCTAGCCACAGGTGAGGCAGTACAACAGGATTTTTATTTTTGGTACTGCTGGTGATTGAACACAGGATCCCACACAGACTATCCTCAGTCCTACTGGGACTCTTTTCTCTAAACTTCTCAGTAGTCTGATTTTAAATGTAACTGTTTTAAATGTGATATTTAAAATGTCACATGGCTCACTTTGAGTATAGAGATGCCTAGAGGCCGTAGGACTACTCTGAACTTGAGCCTTTCATTCTCCTGCAAGCCAGTACATGAACACACAGGGTCTCTCAGTGATACTTTCCATGCTGGGTCCTTGAGTAGAAAAAAAAAATGTAGGTCAGGCCTGAATCCTATGGGATCTTGGAGGCTGGCCAATGCCCTTGCCAAAGGCTTGGGTTGCTCCAGCCAATTTTGGGGCAAAGGACAAAAAACTGGCTTAGGAGCATTGGAAGCAGGAAAACAAACCATCAGGTGGAGCTAGATCGTAAGGATATAAAGCCCCTTGTAACTGGATGTCAGAGTGTGGCTCATTCTCTAGAGTTTTCCATGAACATCAGATAGCCATGATTGAAAACCTTGTCTTTTATCACCTGATATGGTGGCCCCAAATTGCCTCTGTGAACCACCTATTCTCTCTGCCATCTCCCATTTTTGTTTGTTTGGTTTTGAGATAAGGTTTCTCTGTGAAGCTCTGGCCATTCTTGAACTCACTCTGTAGACCAGGCTGGCTTCAAACTCAGAGGGATCCACTCTGCCTCCAGAGTGCTGGGATTAAAGGCATGCACCACCACTACCCAGCTTCCATGCCCCTCTCTTTGTCTCCTCTCTCTCTCTCTCTCTCTCTCTCTCTCTCTCTCTCTCTCTCTCTCTCTCTCTCTCTCTGTCTTCTCTCTCTCTCTCTCTCTCTCTCTCTCTCTCTCTCTCTCTCTCTCTCTCTCTCTCTCTCTCTCTCCCCTTCCCAGTTCACTGTGAACACTTTTGGCTCATTAAATCCCCATTGCTCAGCTCTTTTACTCACCTTCCTAGAGACCTTAACAGTTGGGTTCTTCATCCCTTCTGGTCTCACTCATGGCTTCCTCTTTCACTCTCTATGCTTCCACCCCAGATCACTTATTTTGGATTCAGTTCCTCTACTCAAAGGACCCAATTCCTGAGCCCTGTGATGCTGTGTTTGGGATAATGTCACTTGAGGCATTTCCCTGCTTGTTTGAATGTTTCATCAATTAGGAAACTAAGCCTTGTTCTCAACCATGAACAAGCAAGTTCAGGATCTTCTGGCTTCTAAGGGTATCTATCTGCATATTTAGTCTTGCTCTTCACTGTGGACTATAGAGCTAGCCATCTCCTCCTATGATTTCTAGAAACACCAGTCCCTTTCATTTTAACTCCTATATACAAAATTGTAATCTTGGCTTATATGAAGTCCCTTTGTTCCCAGTCTACTCAAATGCTTAATTCTGTTCTTCAGATGGATCTAATGCCATGTGCCACAGGGAGTCACCCATGGCTTCTCCAGGTGAAGATTGGTGCTTCAACCCAAAAGGACTTTATGCTGGATGAATGTAGCATCTCACTCTTAGAGAAATTAACATGTAACCACGAGGATATATTCATGTACCTATCTGCCCTCCAAAGGACTCCTGGGAGGCAGGGGTGAGGTTCACATCTTTATACCCCTTTTCACTGGTGCCAAGCCCTACAGTACAAGGCAACATTTTGTGTTTGAATGACAAAATGAAAAACTAAGCCAAATGTCTTCCCAGACTCTAGCATTGCCCACTTTGTGAGGAGGGAAGCAATATGTATCTTATTAATACAGTAATTTTTACAGTACCTGGAACTACATGTACCTGTGTGCAATGAGTTACCTGGGTAGTAGATACTTAGGTACTCAGCACCATGAAAGCCCATTCTGCTCCTCAAGTACCAATAGCTTCTCTTGGCTGTGGCCCTTCTCAATCTCACTTCATGGCACATCTCCATTTGTCTGCAGGTCATTACATTATGACTTCCCTCACAGGAAAGTATTTTATACACCTTCACATCCCTAGCACCCAGTACAGTACCTAGCACAGATAGACAATAATCTGACATTGGCAGCTTATCATGGGATTCTCTGTTTGCTGAACAAGGGGTTTTATCTCTCTAGGACATAGCTGGTCTTGGGTTCTATGATGACTGGCAGGGAAGAGCAGGCAGGAGTTGTGCATGTTGCTGGTCACTTGGTACAGCAAACTCTAACTCCCCATAGTACAGAGTGGCTGTGGCAATGAGACAAAAATGGGAGGGAGGGAGTGGAGAGAGGTGCTGGGGGAGGGGCAAAGCCCTCATTATTCATGGCAGCATTTCCTAGGCTCATTAATTCTAACAGGATGAGCTAGGTTTGATTAATCGGGTTGTTAAGCAGCCATGTCAAGTCACCGATCAGGTAAAAGACATTACTTCCGGTCGCTGGCAGTGAAACCAAGTGAGAGCAGTTTGCACCCTTGTTTCTAGAACAGCAGCAAGGAGAAAAGGCATGGAAGAGCTACTGGCTGAAACAGGATCTGAGCTCTTCTCCTCAGCTCTGCATGCAGACCATTAGCTCTCACTAGAGCCCTTTGAGAGTCACATACCTACCTACAGAGGGAACACACTTGACCAGGCCTGGTCTGAGTGCCAACAGGCCAGAGCTGAGGTGCTTCTCCTGAAGCTATTTGTTAATTTCCCAATGTCCAAAGTGGAAAACCCAAAAGGCAGCCTGGGGACTCACTACCAGCACTATGAATATCAGTAAACAGGGTATTAAAACTCCTGTAAAATGTATATCTGGTGAAAAAAGTACTAGATTTAAAAAGAATCCACAAAGAAGCTCTTTTAAACTTTACATCAGTGCAAGTGCTGTGCCGATTGCCTAGGATATATCTGTATGTTCCTCAGGAGGAGGGCCGTGGTCCTTTTACTGGTTAGGGTAAAATGCTAACCTAGCCTGGGCCTTTCACCATCTTCTCATTATACCCATGTGTCTTCAAGAACAATATAATAGAAATAACTGGCTGCAAAAAAAAAAATGGATCATGTTAAATTTAATGAAGATGTTCTTCACAGTAAACTCCTTAAAAGCTAAAATGAGGAGGTTTTTGGGGGCGGGGCTGGAGCAGTATCTCAGTTTTGTTGGTAAAGTGCTTGGTGCACAAGTGTGAGGAGCTGAAACTTAGTCCTCAACATCACACAAAAGCTTGAGCATAGTGGTGCTTGAATCTCAGAGCTAGGGAAAAGGGGGTGGGGGGCCCTCGAGGCTCACTGTTAGCTAGCCTCGCTTAAAAATGGAAATCTCTGTTTAGTGTCACTTAGGGACTCGGTCTCAAAAAGTAAGGTGGTTGGCTCCTGAGACTGACCTTTGGCCTCCATATACGTGTGCACACACATGCACATACAGTTCCTCCACATGCACACACACACACACACACACACACACACGATCAAATGCTTGTATGCACATATCTATACATGCAAAAGTTTAAGTGGTGTAATATGGAAACTGAGATGGGAAGCCTTTCCCCAGGCTCCCAGTATAAACAGAAGAGAAGATATGATACAGAGTCCGTGTCATAGAGCCAGCTGGTGACATGAACAAAAGGAGAAGACAGGGCCGGTATCAGTGCCTCAGTCTCCCACACTGGCGCCTGTGCTGTGCATCTCTTCTTGTTTCCTTCCCTGGAGGATGCAGGGATATTTCTGGCCCACCTCAGGCCCCTCAGCCAAATCTCCCATGACTGCCAGCTGCAGCCCTGTCTCCTCTCCCTGCTTCATTACACACAGTCTGGTACTATATCATTTTCATATCCTCCGAGATTTACGTTGTTCACTGAAACCCCATTAACTAGACAAACCACTGATGCCCAGGAAAAGTGTGGTCTAAGCTACACAGGCCCAGGGTGCGGAGAAGACCAGCTCCTGAGGCCCCACCCTTTGGTGCAGATTATAATAAACTAATCTGCAGAGTGTAGCAAATGCCAGAGATCCAAGGGGCTCACTAAATGTCAAGGAACCAGAGACTTCCTCAGTGACCTCAGGGCTATACGACAAGGAAGAATCAGGGATCTCCACTAATTCTCTGGTTTTCAAGGGAGAGAGTCTGTGAGAGTGGCTAAGAGCACACATTTTAGAAATCAAGCATTTTGGTTTTGAATGTCTCTTCAGCCACTACTAGCTAAGCCCTAACCTCTATGATGCTGTTTCTTTACCTTCTGTGTACAGATAACTCTTAACTCCTTAAAAGGAAGATCAAATGCAATGAAGCATACAGAGTGCTTGACAGTTTCCAGCACTAGCAAGCCCTCTTGCCAAATTACAGTTTTAACTCACATTTCTTTAAGCCTTAATTTTTTAAACTACAATTCCCTTTTCCTACTGTCAAACTAAAATAAGTCAAATAGGTAATAAAGAAGCAAGAGGCTTAAGAAATAGTTAACTGGGTCACGGGGAGAGGTTAAGATTAAAGGACATTCTAGGAGAGTCTGTTGTTCTGGGACAGTACACAGTATTCTAGATT